TTGGTATTACAACTGATCTCCAGGTGATAGAGATCAGTTCACCTGGAGAAAATGGCCCCTTTGAAGTGTGGACTCTGTAGCATTGTGCCCTATTGAAGTCCCTCCCCTCCCCAAGCCCCTCCTCAAGTTCCACCCCCCAAATCTCCACGTATTTCCCAACCCAGAGCTGCCCACCCTAGCTCAGCCCCTGGAATGCAGTCAGTTGTGCAGAGGAGGCTGAAGTTGGTTCCCAGTTCCCAGTTCTTTATTTGTTCCTTATTTGTGACACATTCATGAATTAAACCAAAAACATTGGAAAGAGTTTGAAAGCTCTGAACCCCAAAATAAGGTTTAAATGTAAAGTTTCCCCTGGCTCAAAAGCCAGTCGAATCTGACCCTAGGGGGCGGTGCTCATCTCTGTTTCCAAGCCGAAGAGCCAGCGCTGTCTGAAGACATTTCCGTGGTCATGTGGCTGGCATGACTAAACACCAAGGCGCACGGAACGCTGTTACCTTCCCACCAAAGTGGTACCTATTTATCGACTTGCAATTTCTTGCTTTTGAACTGCTACATTGCCAGGAGCTGGGACCAGAGACAGGAGCTCACTCCGTCACGCGGCACTCCGGTCTTGAACTGCCAAGTTACTGACCCTCCGGTCTGCAGCAAAGTGTCTTAACCACTGAGCCACTGTGGCCCCAAAAATAAATCCCATAAATCATACATCCCCTTGTTCAGGGGACTGTCCCCTTTGAAAGAGCATATGTTGCTTTCTGGTCCAAAGCTGACTTCCTGTGCCAACTGCTCCAAAGTGGGGTACCCCTAGGATAACCACACAGACAGACACTGGGGCCACATGTCATGGGACTCTCCCCTTCGAGGGGACATATGCTGTTTCCTGGTCACCATCAGACCATCCAAAGAAAAGGACAGTTATGACTGGGAACAATAAATCTACAGATCACAGCAAAAATACATGCTAGATGAACTGACTTTTTGTTGCTGTTCAGTCGCACAGTCGAGTCCGACTCTTCGCGACCCCATGGACAAGATCACGCCAGGCCCTCCTGACTTCCGCCGTCCTCTGAAGTTTGCTTAATTTCATGTTCGTTGCATCTATGACGCTGTCTAACCATCTCATCCTTTGCCGTCCCCGTCTTCTTTGACCTTCAATCTTTCCCAGCATCAGGGTCTTCTCCAGTGAGTGCTCCCTTCTCATTTGGTGGCCAAAGTATTTGAGCTTCAGTTTCATTATCTGGCTTTCCAGGGAACAGTCAGGGTTGATTTCTTTTAGAATTGACTGATTTGATCTTCTTGCAGTCCAGGGGACTCTCAAGAGTCTTCTCCAGCACCATAGTTCAAAATAATCTATGCTGTTTAGGTTCGCCATCGCTTTCCTCCCAAGGAGCAGGCGTCTTTTAATTTCATGGCTGCAGTCACAGTCTGCGGTGATCTGGGATCCCAGGAACGTGAAGTCTGTCACTACTTCCACGACTTCCCCTTCTATTTGCCAAGGAGTGATGGGGCCGGATGCCATGATCTTAGTTTTTTTGATGTTGAGCTTCAAGCCCACTTTTGCGCTCTCCTCTTTTACTCTGAGCAAGAGGCTCTTTAGATCCTTTTCACTTTCAGCCATTAGAGTGGTATCATCTGCATATCTGAGGTTGTTGATCTTTTCCCCAGCAATCTTAATTCCCGCTTGTGATTCATCCAGGCCAGCATTTCGCATGATGTACTCTGCATATATATTAAATAAGCAAGGTGACAGTATACATCCTTGTCGTACTCCTTTTCCTATGCTGAACCAATCAGTTGTTCCGTATCCGGTTCTAACTGTCGCTTCTTGGCCCTTATACAGGTTTCTCAAGAGACATGTGAGGTGGTCTGGTACTCCCATCTCTTTAAGGACCTGCCATAGTTTGTTGTGATCCACACAGTCAAAGGCTTTAGCATAGTCAATGAAGCAGAAGTAGATATTTTTCTGGTACTCTCTTGCTTTTTCCATAATCCAGCGAATGTTGGCAATATGATCTCTCGTTCCTCTACCTCTTCGAAACCCAGCTTGTACTTCTGGTAGTTCTCTATCCACGTACTGTTGAAGCCTAGCTTGTAGGATCTTGAGCATGACCTTGCTAGCGTGTGATATGAGTGCAATTGTGCGATAGTTTGAACATTCCTTGGCATTGCCCTTCTTTGGGATTGGAATGTATACTGATCTTTTCCAATCCTGTGGCCACTGTTGCGTTTTCCAAATTTGCTGGCAAATTGCGTGCAGCACTTTAACAGCATCATCTTCTAAGACTTTGAATAGTTCAGCTGGAATACCATCACCTCCACTAGCTTTGTTGTTAGTAATGCTTTCTAAGGCCCATTTAACTTCACATTCCAGGATGTCTGGCTCGAGGTCAGTGATTATACCGTCGTGGTTGTCAAGGACATCGAGGTCTTTCTTGTATAGTTCTTCTGTGTATTCTTGCCATCTTTTCCTAATCTCTTCTGCTTCTGTTAGGTCCCTACCATTTTTGTCCTTTATCATGGCCAGCTTTGCATGGAACACTCCCTTGATTTCTCCAATTTTCTTGAAGAGAGAGAATTGACTTTATGCGTTTTATACTGTTTTGTTCACAATTTTAGCCACATTGGTGAGATGTCACAAATGTTAAAAAATAAAATAACTTTCTAAGTGGCAGATGGTTCTGTGCAGAACAATAAGTCACTTAACACAATTATGATTGACAGTCTGGACCGAGAATACCTAAAGCAAGGGAAACCATGGATCTCGGTGGTTGTACTATGACATTTTAGTTCGAGAAACCATATTGGGACCACACAGCATTTCAAACATATTGGTGCTCAGGGCACACCACTTTATAGAAATCAGTACAAGAACAAGGCTTTGGACTAGGAAACAGCATGTGTCCCCTTGAAGGGGAGAGTCCCCTGAACATTAGGGGGTACGACGTATGGCAGTCCAAACTTTATTTTGGGATGCAAAGTTCCTTATTCAAATCTTTGAAATACAGGTCTCTTGGTGGTGCTCCAAACAGAAGCTTGTGGGGCCAGAACCAGTGTTTGGATCGAGCACCACTGTATTCCCTCATGCAGGGGACAGTCTCTGGAGTGTGGGGATGTGTCATTTGGGGTGGTCTAAAGAGTGTTTTGGGGTGCAGCCTGGCCCCATCGTCTGCCTGTGTGATTATTCTGGGGTCATCCCACTTTGGAGCAGCTGGCATGAGAACTGGGCTTTGGACCAGGAAACACCACATGTCCCCTCGAAGGGGAGAGTCCCCTAAATGTGAAGGTTTATGAAGTACGGTGGCCCAACCCTAATTTCGGTGTACAGAGGGCATGCAGTTGTTCCAGTTCCTTATTCAAATCTTTTGTGAAATATAGGCTTCTTGGTGGCACTCCAAATAGAAGCTTGTGGTGCCAGAACCAGTGTTTGGATCAGGCACCACTGTATGTTCTCTCTCATGGGACAGTCTCCGAAGTGTGGGGATGTGTCATTTGGGGTGGTCCAAAGATTGTTTTGGGGTGCAGCCTGGCCCCAGTACCTGCCTATGTGATTCTCTTGGGGTCGCCCTGCTTTGGAGCAGCTGGCAGAAGAACCACACTTTGGACCTGGAAACAGCATAGGTCCCCTCGAAGGGGAGAGTCTGCTGAACATGGGGGTGTATGATATGTGGCAGTCCAAACCTTATTCTGGGATGCAGAGGACAAACAGTCAAACCAGTTCCTTATTCAAATCTTTTCTGAAATACAGGTTTCTTGGGGGCAATCCAAATAGAAGTCTGTGGCTCTGGAACCAGTCTTTGGACCAGGCATCACTGCATGTCCTCTTGCAGGGCCTTTGGCCCTTGTTTGTCATTTCGACATCAGCTATCGAGGAGGCCTGGAATCCCCCATGCTGCTGACCTTGTCACTGGGCCTCAGGAAGGTCAGTTGCCTGATTGTTGAAACAAGCAAGCAGCTACATCTGAAGGGAAATGCTCAATGATTCTCCAGAGGTTAAGTCTTTGCTCTCAGGCACACCCACACTGGGGAACACATTCAGATCTACATAAATTAAAACATTGTCACATACCAGCTTGCAATGGTTTATGATTCTGACAAGCAGGGGCCTCTACAATTCAGATTCTCTTCTGGGAACGTAAGGGGATGTCAGCCTCCAGGTGGGGTCTGGGGATCTCCTGTCATGACAGCTCATCTCCAGACTAGAGAGATCAGTTTCCCTGGAGAAAATGGATGCTTTGGACTCTACGGCCTTCGTCCAACTCCTGCAAAAATATTAACCACCACCCTTTCCGTTAGCTAGGCTGGCTTCCTCATACCCTAGTCCAGCAACTGCTGGAGCACGTAATTTATTGAGCAAACGATAGAGCAAATTTGCCTGAAGGATTTACAAAACATGAGAGTTCCTTGGTCGCAGTGTTCCCTCTAAGCTGAGTGAGTGTGAGCTAGCTCACAGTTTTTTTGCCTCCGGCTCACACATTTTTGTCTCCGCTCAGGAAGGATGGCTCCAGGGCAAACTAATATATGCAGTAGCCAAATCGCTCGCTCACAACTTTAATGCCGGTTGCTCACAAAGTAGAATTTTTGCTCACATGACTCCACAGCTTAGAGGGAGCATTGCCTTGGTGCACACGGTGCCAAGGCAAGCCTAGAAAACAAAACTTTCCCCTTGTTCTTTGGTTAAAAAAAGAAAAGGAAAAAGGGATGCCGTGACCCGGGCTGTGTGGTTTCTTTTTCTGCTACAAGATGGAAATTCCAAAGTGGATTCGAGCCAGCTCTGATGCAAACTACACTAAAGATAAGCCTCGGCAAGTTTCGTTTCTTTTTGTGTGGAGACAGCAGAATGAAGTCAGATGACCCGACTCATGAAATCCCCCTGAGGCTAAGCACACCCAGCCAGGTTTTCCCTTCCACAAAGGGATTGGACAGCTGAAGCTCCCCCCCCTCCCCTTTGTCTGTTCCTCTTTTTTTTTAAAAAACCTCTGACTTCCTTTAGAGGAAGCAATCTCAGTGTGAACAAGCCCAGTGCCTTTGAGAAAGATAAAGCAGCTGTGGAAGGAGGCAAAAGGACGGGAGACCTCTTTTGCCAGGACTGGGCAAGTTACTGCTTTCCCCCTCCCTCCTCGATGGCGCTTTGGCTGTGGCCCCTTCTGATTTTCCTGAGGGCGGAGGACACAGGAGCGGATGATGTCGGTTTCCAGGCCTGTAAGAGTGCTGCTGGCGGCTTGAAAGTGCTGGAAGTGCTGCCAGGAGGTGGCTGGGACAACTTGCGCAATGTGGAGATGGGACAAGTGATGAGCCTCAACTACTCCCTGTGCAGGACCACCGAAGATGGTGAATACCTCATTCCTAACGATGTCTTTGTGGTGCCCCTCAAGAAGAGCACAGTGGAAGTGCACTCCGAGCTTATCGAGGACTGGATGGCCTACGCAGATGCCTTTGCTCAGTCTGTCAACGCGGAGGCTTCCTTCCTTTCTGTGCTGAATGGCAAGTTCTCAGAGGGCTCCCAGAAGACCAAGATGCACAATGTCTACGACGAAACGATCACCACACGGGTGCAGGCACGGTACCACATCTACTCCGTGAAAGCTCGTCCGTCCTTCGCCTTCCAGAAGGACTTCCGCCACCAACTTGTGGACATCGGCAACCAGCTGGAGAACAACCAGAGCAGAACCGCCGAGTACCTCGCAGAGATGCTTGTCCTCAACTACGGCACCCACGTCCTCACAGATCTGGAAGCTGGAGCCAGCTTAATCCAAGAGGACCAGGTGAAGCGCAGCTTCGTGATGGATAAAGAGACAGAGAAAGGAGGAGTCACTGCCTCCGCGTCGGCCACATTTTTCAGCAAGGTCAACGTGGGAATCGGTGGCTCGGTGCAGATCCAAGACGAGATGACTAAAAGCTACCTGGAGAACACCGTGGACTCCAAGATTGAAGGCTGGGGCAGTGTGCCTTTCTATCCTGGCATCACCCTCCAGAAGTGGCAGGAGGGCATTCCCAACCATTTGGTGGCTATAGGCAAAGCCGGGTTGCCTCTGACGTTTTTCATCACCCCCGAGGCCTTGCCGGAACTACCAGGACCTACCGTAAGGCAAGTGGCCACTGTGGTGGAGAATGCCATCCGCCTCTATTACGCTGTCAACACCCACCCGGGCTGTGTCAAGCCTGACTCGGGCAACTTCAACTTCCAAGCTAATGTGGACGACGGGTCGTGCCAAAAACCCAACACCAACTTCACTTTTGGGGGAGTCTTCCAGGACTGCCGTGGTGTATCCGGCAGGAACACGGAAGAGCTTTGCCTGACTTACCGTACCCAGAACCCACTGACCGGCGGCTACTCCTGCCCTGGCAACTTTTCCTCTGTATTGCTGCACAGAGAGGAACGTACAACCAGCAAGCCCCAAACCGAGTGCCACGAGGAGTGTCATTCCTGCTGGCTCTTCTTTAGCTGCTGCGAGTCTGTGTGTGGCACCCGCTACTATGCCAGCACGGTGCAGTTCAGTGCCTACTGGTGTGCTGCTACAGGAACAGTGCCTCAGGGCTCAGGTGTCCTCTTTGGAGGGCTGTATAGTACTGGGCAGGAGAACCCGGTGTCCAGGACCTATGCCTGCCCATCCTACTTCTTCCCACTGGTCCTGTTTGATAACCTCAAGGTGTGCATCAGCAGCGATTATGAGATGGGATCTCGCTTTGCCGTGCCCTTTGGTGGCTTCTTTAGCTGCCAGGCGGGCAACCCTTTGGCTGGGCTGCTGAAAGGACAGAGCCCCGGGATCCTCCGGGACTTTTTCTACCAGGACTCCCCTACCAAATTCCCCATGAAGTGCCCGACTGGATACAGCCAACACAAGGCCTATTTGAGCGACGGCTGCCAGATCCTCTATTGCTTGCAGGCTGGGACACTTTTTGGCCAGCGACTGGCTCCTGTCAAGCTGCCACCCTTCTTACGCGTGCCGTCCACCAACGCGAGCCTTCCCGAGACCATCCTGGTGAGCTCCGACGACAGCCAGGCCTGGGTGAAGATACGTCAAAGCGGGAACTGGAGACTGGCCAATGCCACAGATGAAATGCAGATGGCCCAACTTTTCCAAGTGAGTTCAGGACCAAGTGGGGGCACCGTTGCTGGAATCTCGACGGCCGTGATTGCTGTCTTGGCAATAGCCATTGCGATAGCTGTTTACAGGGTCCGGCGTTGCAAGAACAGAGGATACCAGGAAATGCAAAACCCACATATAGCAGAAGACCAAGGCAGCTATGGAGCCACCACATCGGCTCCACAACTCAGTGCTGCTTGAGGCATCCTTTGTCCCTGGACCCCTGAGATAAAGACGAATATTTTCAGGGTGGGGGTGGTGGAATATGAGCCCAAGAAGCAAGGGGAATGATCACTTCTGATGGGGGAGGGGGAGGGGAGAAGCTAGTATGAACTTCCTTGGTCGAGGGGGAGGGGAGAAGCTAGTATGAACTGTAAGTGCCTCGGAATGGAAACCAATGTTTATATAAACAGTTTGAGCAGGATAATAACCCTCTTAAGAGACGACAGGTTGCATATTGCTAGACAAATCCATGTGAAGTCAACAATTAGTGAGGAAATAAGGCAGTAGTAACTGCTGGGCTGTGTGGGAGGGAGGGGATTAATTTTTTTCCCCTGCAGTGTGAAGAACTTCAGAACATGGCAATAAGTAAGTTGGTATCTGTCCCTGCTTTTGCAACCACAAAAGTCTAAATCATGGGGGAAGAGATAAAAAGGCAGTGGTTTGTGATTTGGATGCAGATCGGTTTTCAAACGGCATAGCGCTGTTAGTTGTTTTCTCTTTTTACTTTGTTCGTAAGCTCTTGATTGGCGGTTGGGTAGAAACAATATTCCTTGGCAGTCAACCTGTGCTTCTTTTTTACCCGACAAAATAAACTGTTTTGTACTTTTACGCTTGGTGTGACCACTTTTCGCCACCATACTATATTTCTGCTTAACTGTGTGAGCAGTATTGATGTGTAATGGACTGGGCTACTGCAAAATAGCTGCTTACAGTTAGGGAGGGGAAAGGGCTTCAAACCAAATACGCTTCGTAGTTTTCTAGCAGGAACCACTTCTGAATTCTTTCATTTACTCCCTGAACTGGGCTCTTATTACGTTTTCAGTCCCTCCTCCTCCTCGGTAGTCAGGTAAACACACAGAGAGTTGTTTTATTTGATTAATAACAGTCCTACTAAATAAAATTGGGGGGAGGGTACCAAGGGCTTCCCACTGATTTTCATAATCTTGCTGTGATTTGATGCCAGCAGTCCTTTGTCCAGGACTAGCATTTTGGCCAGTTTGGTGTAGTGGTTAAGTGCACAGTCTCTAATCTGGGAGAACCGGGTTTGATTCCCCACTCCTCCACTTGCAGCTGCTGGATGACCATGGGCAAGCCATAGTTCTGTCAGAGCTGTTCTCTCAAGAGCAGTTCTCAAAAGAGCTCTTTCAGCCCCACCTACCTCACAGGGTGTCTGTTGTGGGGAGGGGAAGGGAAAGAAGTTTGTAAGCCGCTCTGAGACTCCGAGTGAAGGGCAGGGTATCAAACCAATCTCCTCCTCCTCTTTTTCTTCTAGCACTGGGGTATATTTTCTAACAGGAAAGCAAAAGAGCTTGAATCTCATTTGTACAGATTGTAGCTAGTTTATGCATTCTGTGTGGTACAGAGTATCAGATTAGGACAGGGAGACCCTGCTTTTAATGGCCATTCAGCCTCAAGCCATAAGCTCATTTGGTGACCTTTGGCCAGTCAAGTCTCAACCTGTCCTACCTCAAAGAGTTGTTGTGAGGATCAAACAAAGGAAGGAAGAGCCACGAATGCTGCCCTGAACTCCTTGGAGGAAGGGGGCTGGAATACAAAATGTAATAGAAGACAGACTTTTTAGAAGCCTTGATTTTCAGCTTGCAAAGGGAAAAGTATTTGAGCTACTAAAAGTGTAGTCCTAAGAGTTCCACCCTTCTAATTCTATTGGATTCAGTGGACTTAGATTCAGTGTTAGGACTGCACTGTGATTAGCTTTATCAATAAAATGACGAGACTGCATAACTCCTGAACAGACAGTGTGCAAGCATGTGACCCTTTTGGCAAGTCAGCATAGTGCTGACTCAGTTTTTATTGCAGTTGCTTTTGCTCACACATGAAGCAGCGACTCATCCCAAAAGCCAGAGCCAAAGACAGACTTTTCAGAATTCAGTTAAAAACAAACTGACTTGCAGTTTGCAGTGAATCATTGCTTAATCACAAACAATTCAATTCCCTTCCTTTTTTGTCCCCCCCCCATGGCTAAATTTCAGTTCTATGAGACCCGGGGCAGGGATCTATGTTCTGGTTACGCACCTCTGTCTGGTGCCAGGCAGCGTTCCCTCTAAGCTGAGTTTGTGTGAGCTAGCTCACAGTTTTTTAGCCTCCGGCTCACACATCTTTGTCCTAGCTCAGGAAGGACGGCTCCAGAGCAGACTGATTTATGCAGCAGCCAAATCGCTCGCTCACAACTTTAATGCCAGTAGCTCACCAAGTAGAATTTTTGCTCACAAGACTCCACAGCTTAGAGGGGTCACTGGTGCCAGGTACATTATCTCCAATCTTCTGTCAGCTACAGCCTCGAGTTGAATGGGAAATGAAAACCCAAAGCTACGCCCGATGTAAAGTTGATTAAACTGCAGAATCGTTTGCTTTTTACTTCCATGATTCCTACATACTGTTATCCCCATATATAATGATGGGGCTGATGAGCAGATTTGCCTGAGGCTGCCTAGAAATCAGGGATTTCTCAGAAGACAAACATGATCCTTATTATTAACTACTTTTGTGCCTCTGTAAGGAAGGCTTTCAAGTAAGGGAACCTTTACCTTTTAAGGAAGGTGAATATCATTAACAGTTTGGAAAATAGCACAGAATCATGCTGTGACCCCCCTTTGTATCTCAGCAGTGTTGCAAACTGAAACACAAGAAAGCACAAAAAAGACCCTGAATCTGTCCTGTTTTGCTTTCACTTCTCAAAACATTTACTGGCCAGACGCAAAGGACACCTGACTCTTGCAGAAAAAGGGGAACTGTCTGTGTTGCAGACAGACTGAAACGGTCACATCTGCTCAGACCACGGAAAGCTGTTGTACACAGCAGCTAAATTTCAGATGCTTCCATCTCCAGCGTTAAGATACTAGTTAACCAGAGCAGTTATCACAATATGCTGCTTACTAGACTTGACAGCAATGTTCCCTCTAAGCTGTAGTCTTGTGAGCAAAAATTCTACTTTGTGAGCTCCTGGCATTAAAGCTGTGAGCAAGCGATTTGGCTAATGCATCAATTAGTTTGCTCTGGAGCCATCCTTCCTGAGCTGAGACAAAAATGTGTGAGCTGGAGGCTAAAAAACTGTGAGCTAGCTCACTCTAACTCAGCTTAGAGGGAACACTGCTTGACAGCTAGTACTCTTGGTTGGAACTGACCAGGCAACATAAAATGGGGGGGGGGAGCAACAACCTGGACATGAAACTGTTACTGCCTGCTTAACATAAACGTTGGGGCACAGCATTGACATGACCAATCCAGAAGACAAAATATTCTGATCATCATCTACCTTTTGAACTCCAAAGGTTTCGGTCCAGAGCAGGGTTCCCAAGGGTTTGCAGCATGATTTTCCTATCCCCCCCCCCCACTGCCAGTTTGGTGTAGTGGTTAGGTGCGCGGACTCTAATCTGGGAGAACCGGGTTTGATTCCCCACTCCTCCACTTGCAGCTGCTGAATGACCTTGGGCAAGCCATAGTTCTGATAAGAGCTGTTCTTGAAAAAGCCGTTTCTCTCAGAGCTCTCTCAGCCCCACCTACCTCACAGGGTGTCTGTTGTGGGGAGGGGGAGGGAAAGGAGTTTGTAAGCCGCTCTGAGACTCTGAGTGAAGGGCGGGGTAGAAATCCAATCTCTTTCTCCTCCTCCTCCTCTTTTTCTGCTGTTGCTGCTCCTGCAGGAGCCCCAAATGCCACCCTGCAATCCCGTTTGACTACCAGGAGCAGGATTGGGAAGGCATTTCAGGCTGGCCCCGGAGAAAACAGGAAAGTCACATGCTGTGGGTAGAAATCCTCACATCCCCAGAAATGCTGCTCTGGCTCCAAGCCATCAACGGGAAGGAAGGCTAAACGTGGAGGATGTTTCCCGAGTACCTGAAACAGGAACTGCCTTGACAGGAGTTTCAGCAACCAAAGAGGAACACACAGTGTAGTAAACAAGGGAATGGTAATCTGTGTGAAAAAGACGCTAACACTGGTTCAATCATGACCAAAGCACTGATACAAATACAATCATATAAACACAATCAAGTCCAGTCTTAAAGTAGAAAAAGTTTCTTCTTGAGGTGAGGCAGTGATTATGGAAGGAAGGGTGATGTAAAGCCTTGAGCTTCTCCTGAGATGTGCTGTCAATAACTGCCCATTTATGAGATGTGTTTGCTGTAACTCACAAGAGTGCATATAACCTAGCTGAAGCAGGGCTGGCCCCAGCTTATTTTGCACCCTAGGTGAGGATCCCTTCTGGTCCCCCCCCCCATGCGCCCACCAGTTTTCAAAAATAAATGCATTTTAGGAAGAATGAAAAATATAAATAATCAAGAAACTCCCAGAGTACGGGGCCGGGGGCAGCTTGGTGCCCCTAAGGGCCGGCCCGCTCTAGGCGGTTGCCTAGTTCGCCTAGTGAGTGAGCCGGCCCTGATCTGAAGATATATTTTGTTTCAGTCACTGAGGAAGTTCTTCGAAATGGAGTTCTTAATATCCGGATTCTTTGTTTATCATTCTTCATACGTCTTCACCTCACGAGGAAACTAGTGTGTCTTTTTCACACAGATTACTATTCCCTTGTTGACAGGAGCTTCAGCACTCGTTTGCCCTCTTGGCTCTGATAACTACAGGAACCCATAGGTTGCCTACAGATCAGATGAAGAATTAACCAACGGACTTGCAATCAGTGAATAATCAGACATAGGTGTTATATCCCCCTGTGTGGTTCTATGATTTGAATATGGGACGAGTGAGGCACCAGACCCTTTGAGGTAACAAGGGCTGCTGAGAGTGACTTTTTGACAGGCCTCCTATAAAATCACAGCTGAGCAGGGGTCTGGATCCAGAGCCAACACAGCTTGCTGGTTCTTATCGTTCCTGTTCAAGTGGCTCAGCCTGAGAGCACCAACATGAAATATAAGCACAAAGATGTGTGCAAAGTGTAAACCTGAGTCAGAAGCCTACCACGAGAACATTTCCTAAAGCTACTTATTTATGAGCTTTTATCAATGTTCACAAATTGACTAAGATCACTAGTGGACACTCCTTTCTTCATGGCTGTATGGTGCTTTGCAGCAAAACATATTTGAACTGTCAGTGGCTGCATGCGGTCCTGTTGCTAAAAGGGAGTGGATGTAGAGACCCCGTGATAT